GGAACTGCTACAAGCAGAACTTGAATTCATAACATTGTTATTGCAATGTATATCACATAATGTTTTAATACTGCTTTAAGCTGTTGACAGATAACCACCCATGTACTATAATCACATATGTTTACAATAAAATACAATTCATTTGTGTGCAGGATGGAAATGTGAGTCATATTTTAAAATTCGCTCACAAAACCGTTCGTGATAAACTTGATGAATTGAAAACCCGAGAAATAAAACGCCTCAGAAAAGTAATAAGTAACAGCGTTAAGGCAGATCGTGGTATGTGTTATATTCCTTTATGCTTAAATTTAAAAATAAAACATTTGTGTTTGTTTTCGCACTATTTGATTTAGTATAAGTTCACAATATGACGTTCGTTTTATATCTGTTTTTTTAATGAAAAACTCACAACACGCACATAATTACATTTTAACATTACTTTATATGTTTGATAAGTTTAGAAGCAAACCCGACTCATGTGGGGAATATGGCAAATATTATTAAAGAATACACAGGTCATGTTGAATTTATGGCGCCAGGGTTTCAACAAGAGGACTTGCAATTGCTATTAGCAAAGGTAGTTAGTGATTTCACACAGCGACATATTTACATAGGACATAATTCTTTCAATTTGCATTTGGTTTATGTGGCACGTGGATTGTAATGATTATTCAAACATTGGAACATATACATAGATCTGCATTCAAAATTTAGTCGAGGTTTATATATTCTTCTTCGACTAACTCATTCTATTTTCAAGAATTCAACAAGTATATATATACTTATTTTCATATTAGATTGTTGTATTTTGTATCGGGGGACATAATGTCCCTTGGATAAATACTGGTTGTGGTATCCCCACTACATAACCTAGTGTCATCGGTGATATAGTTGGAAGACATAGACACTTTAAATATACGATAATTGCAACCCTATCAACCCTTCTTTACCAGGCAAAGCAAGACATTGATAGGATCGATAAGATGAGAAAAGAAGAATTTAAAAAAGGAGCCATGGAGAAGGAAATCCAGAGGAGGAAAGAACTTCTTAATTTGACTTCGAATGAACGAAAAGTACAAGAAGAAAAGTTTGCAGAAGAAAAGCTAAAAGAAGGCAAACATGAAAAGGTCAACCACCCAGTGAGTATTATTTAGAATATCCTACAATATATTATGTTCGCCTACATCATCACATGACTCAAATATGTCGGGATACTCATCCTGACAAGTCGTGTAAATGTTATTTTGCTGCTATGACAACATATGTTCTGCCAAAATGAGCATAAAGGTGGTAGACCACGTGGGATCTGCAAGAAAGTCCCATAGCAAAGTGCTCAGTGACTATATTTGCTAATATGGATAATCTAGTTATGTGGCATTTGCAATTGTTTGCTAATTTTGCATACAGATTGAATGTCATTGGTCTTTTACATTTTTGCCCGCTCGCATATATTATAAAGATGTCATTCATGGCTAATATGCTAGACACTCGAAAATACTAAGGGTTTGTAGCCGTTAATAAGATAATGCCACTATTGCAGAAAGTATAATAGTTTTTTTGTTACATGAAACTACTATTGAACATGTATTGTACATTCCAGGGTAGCAAAAAGCAATTTCAAGAAGTTTGGGAGAAAACAGATCACTTGGAAAAAGATTATTTTAATCCGAAGGTGTTTTTTACTATTCACGATGTCAACGGCGATGGTTTTCTGGACATGCACGAAATGGAGGCTTTACTAATATTAGAGGCAAGTCATTTGTGTCAAAATATAGACTTCAAGCTAAACGTATATATTATGCAGATGACTAATAAATGTTCAACTATCTAATATAAATACATACCATAGTAAAATACTTTTGATGTAAATATACTATGTTTATATTACGTCACAATATTACCACACAATGGAGAATATTTAATTCGAAGAATCAGAGCATGATACCATTGATAAGATTCATGAGTTGGTAAAACACAAATATTTTAGATCAAAATATCAGCTTTATTAATATAACGTTTTTGGGGGGAGGGGGGAGAAACGTTTCTGTGGCGCCAAATGCGACAGACTGTTGTGTGAACAAGTGTGAATAAAATACACAACCGACCAATAAAGTATCAATATGACAGATTCAAAATTTTATATTGTTTCTTTGTAACAAGGATATCCAGAAAAAATCTTCAGTTTTTATGAGGTTGATACGAACACAAAATAACCACATCTAAGTCAGTCATTGTACTTTGTTGTGACGCCTTTCCATATTTAGAATATAGTAAAAATATTATTTAGATGGTCAAGTGACCTTGTAATACCATAACAATATATTGACATTACCAACAAAAGTGATTCTGATAAACTGCAGCTATGCTCGGAACAAATAACCAGTTCTAGTTTTTGACTAAATTGCAAGTCGCGCCAAATTATACCAAATCATATATACTAAATTATACCATACATTGAATTGCAAGTTGTCACTTGCATGTATATAATGGTGTCATCATAAACGTATCATAGAGTTGACGATGAGTTCACCACTACTCTATATAAGAACACCCGTATGTCGAATCACATGCCAGTCTCTCACTGACCGAAGAACGAATCCCACAACGAACTCAAGAAAACTTTGTGCTCAACTAACGCCTCGCAAATCAATGGAGTAAAAAGTGTGCTGTCATCCATTAATGCTCAGATATACACCCCATTGTTGTAAAATTGTGAAATTTGCTCCGCCATTATTATAATCTGATAATGTCAAAGTTGTATTGAAAAACATAACGTCCAACATCGTTGTATTATTCGTATACATCATACTCATCTAAAATGTACATCATTTAGGTTGAAAAAATATATGGCAAAGACGGCAACCCTGTGGAGATTAAAGAAGAACTTTCAAGAATGAGAGAACATATTTATAATCAGGTATTTTATCATAATCGCCAAGCATAATTGTACAAACAATTCAGATACAATTATTTCTGCTGATAGCTGCTGCCAAGAAGTTCTCAGCATACCCCAATTTGTTTATGTTATGATGCCACTAATTGCTATGGTTGCATTTAATTGAATGGTAACAACCTAGGATTTTATGTAAAGAGTACAGTAGATGCATGTAATACCTTATTTATGGAAGCAATATGTTAAGTGTTATTACTGTGTTGGGTATTCCACTTGTACATTGTTAGTAAGTCTTTGATTAAATGATTGTATCTTATGTGGTCATCTGTCAGATTAGTTCCTGCATTGATACATACTATTTAAGTATTATTGCGTTTCTGAGTCGTGGGCAATGATTTTATTTGTGACTATTATTTCTCAACAAGACAAATTGATCTAGAAATGCCTCCCGTTTGCTTAATTTACAGAGTGATAAAAATAAAGACAACCTGATAAGTAAGAAAGAATTTTTAGAATCCCTTGTGGAAGATCAAGACGAAGAAGGCTGGGAGGTATAGTTAAAAGTTTGTCATATTACAATTACTAAGTATCCATTTTTTAAACCATGAACGTGTAAAACTATTTAAGTTATTTTTACATTTAGGACTTACGCGACAACCCCATTTACACAGAAGATGAATTGAATGCGTACAAGAAAAAAATGGAAGTGCTCCAAGAACAAGTAAAAGCCAATGTGAAGAGGCTAAAACAAGAGAGAAAAAATAAAAACATGGCAGAAAAGGTTGATGATAATGTTGTCAAAATGGAGGTATAACAAGTTTCAAAATTTTAGATAAAACAAGTTCAACAAGATACAGTTCGTATTATGTTCTCTTTTTTTCGTGACTAAAATATAAAAGATTTAGGGACGTATGGCTCCTTAACCACATCTTTCAAACTAACCATTTTTTTACGTTACCCTGACTTGTTTTTAGGTTATTACCATTTTCACAGTCTTCTGACTGTTTACTAACAGTATGGCTTTAACCAGGTGTCAAAGTGCCCTACCCCCCTTCCCCTGATGTCGTCAGAACATCTTGAGCCATCCTACAGTGAGCAATCATATTGTATGGCCTAAGATACATATTGCAGCATGGATGAATCGGACTGTGGAGTCTGTGTGGTTTGGCTGCCACAAACATAGAATTTGGATGGATGAGTTTAATATATGTGTGACCAACAGCGATTTATTTGATAATTTTTGTGCAGATGTGGCTGTGTGCCTTCTATTCACTTTTCGGGGGATTTAGGTCATTGTTCCTCGCGTAATCCTCCCCTGATTTCTGGCCTTTATACGTAAAGCAAGATAGACCCCATATCATGAGAGTGTATTACCTACAATGCTCAGTTTTATGTCAATTCTTTATATACCAGCTCTCAGTGCAAACCGGAGTTCTTGATTGTCAATAATTGACAAAAGTGTCACTCAGACATGTTGAAAACAGTAAATTACCATTTGCATATATTTTATTTTTGCACAGATTTTCGAAACAACCCTAATGCAGTAATGCAATCATTCTTTTCTTCAATGGTGCTACTTTATGGTGTTCAACTCACGGCATCAACACAGAGACACCAGCAAACACTCTAGCATTCTGTACACATTCTGTCAGTATTACACCAACTGAAATTGAAATTGCTCCTCACAAGTTTTATGAAAGGAGCTATGAGTCTCAGTTGCAGTGGATGCTGATGTTGTAAGGGCAGCGGTGATTAGTCAATTTCTTTAGTTACTAGAGGGGATTCAAGTAACATTTTTTTCATAGATAGTAAATCAACATAAATTGTTGTCATTGAATTATATCGAGCAATGTATGGTTTGTTCAAAAAGCTGCTATGATCGTGCTGTATCATTTTAATTTTAGATTTGTTATTCAGTGGTAAAACTGATGGTGTTGCCCATGGCTTGAACACAAACAAAAGGCATGGCCAGTCGACCACATAAGTTATGTGATCAAAGATATTTGAATCAGTACAATCAATGTAAGACTTTAGATTATAAAATTATAATAATAATAATACTCAAGTAGTATGAGAAAAAAACATCATGCTATGCAAAAAGTCGAACCCTGCTAAAAAATGAAGATAATACTTAAATGACCAGATGCTGAAGCCTCCATTGTGTGTTCCCTTCATTTAGTCTTGCATTTCAAAAGATTCAGCGCCGTATGATGTTACATACTGATGACCCTGTATTGTTCCCCTACAATACAGGATATGCAGAGATGGTAAACCTCAGTCGAGCATTCAAGGGGAACTTACTAACACTTACAATAGTTACATTGGTCAACCAAAAGACCGTCCTCTACAACAAAGACAGCACATGATTTACCAAGCATTGTAGCAATTTTTGTAGCCAAATATTTTACCAGTGAGAGCAGCAGCTAGGGTAGTTTTATTAATGGTCTGAAACCAAAAGTGTTTCATAATATGTTAAAATCAAATTGTTTGTGGGGTCTATGGGTATTATCTTGTAGAGAGAAGTCAGATTAGGATAAATATATATATATATATGTGTTAACATATGGGATGAGAATGTACATTGAGGTTCTCGTAATGCTTAAATAACGATAAAGGCAGTTTTCCCTACAATATATACAATACATACATTGTGATTGAACACTCAGCTAACACTTAACCTTGAAAATGAAACTTGAATTTCAGTTTTAAGCACGTTTGATAAAAGTGAAAAAAAAAAACTTCCCTTTTTGTCCAAAACTTATATCGTAAAAAGTGGTCACGTATGAGCCA